CCGTAAAGATTTACAGCCTCAGAAACCCTGTACAGGGTCGCTATGAGTCGGAACCGACTCCACGGCACATAACAACAACAAACAAGGAAGATCAGATAATAAAACTATTATCCAAATTTATGCTCCAACCACTAAAGCCAGTGATGATAAAATTTAAGAATTCTTCCAACTTCTTCAGTCTGAAATTGATCAAACAGGATCAAATAGGATGCAATCAGGATAATTACTGATGATTTGGATGCAAAGGTTGGAACAAAGAGGAAGGATAAGCAGTTGGAAAATATGGCCTTGGTGATAGAAATGATGCTAGAGATCACAAGACAGAATTTTGCAAGACCAATGTCTTCTTCACTGCAAATTCCTTTTAAAAACAACATAAAAGATGACTATAAATGTGGACCTCACCAGATGGAATACACAGAAATCAAATTGACTACATGTGCGAGAAGAGATAGTGGAAAAGTTCCATTTCATCAGCCAAAGCAAGGCCAGGGGCAGACTGTGGAACAGACTATTAATTATTTATATGCAAATCCATGCTGAAGCTGAAGAAAATTAAAAGAAGCCCACGAGAAACAAAGCATGACCTTTAACATATTCCTCCCAAATTTAGAGTTCATCTCAAGAACAGATTTGACACAGTGGCCACTAATGACTGAAGACCAGAGAGTAGTGATATGACATCAAGAAAATCATAAGGAAGAAAGCAAAAGATTATTAAGAAAACAAAAAGAAGTGAAAGACCAAAATGTATGTCAGAAGAGAAATTTGCTCTCCATCAGAGAGATGCTAAAGTAAATGAAAGAAATGAGGAGGTAAAGGAACTGAACAGAAAATTTCAAATGGCAGCTCAAGAAGAAAAAGTCAAATATTATAAAGAAATGTGCAAACAATGTAGTTAGAGAACCACAAGCAAGTAACACTCTCAAGATTTTCTAAGTTGATAGAACCGAAGGAAAAAAATGTAACCTCATCTTTCAATATTGAAGGATTCTATGGACAAAATATTGAAAGATTCAGAAAGAATCAAAAGACAATGAAGGAACCCCAAAACTCAGTAAAAAAGCTACTAGACCTCATTGGATGATTCAGCAAAATGGCAGGTTATAAGATCAACATACAAAAATCAGTTGGATTCCTATATACCAAAAATGACAGCATTGAAAAGGACAT